GGTGGGGGGGGGGGGTGCGAACTACATAGGCGCCATGTCGGTCAGAGAGACAGCGCATGGGCTTTGTGCCAAGGTAAAGTCAAAGGTCGACGAACACCAAGCTTGGCGTGCGTGCAAGAAGGTCGACATGTTGAAAAGAGTTGGCACTCAAGCCCGAGTGCACATCGTGGAAAACGACGAGAAAAAGAACCAGCTTTGTGCATTGACATGGGTCTCAATCGTTGTCGCACAAAAATCATACCAGCTTCTATGCACCAGCAGCTTGTTCGTCAATAACCCCGAGGTGTTGAACCTTCCGATATGTTGCGGGAATCGCCTGAATCTCGGTGCACTCGACCTTGTCTTTAAAGGACTTACCCCCAAAAACGCCAGGGCGTGGGGTCCATGGCGCGTGGGGCAAGCAAGGACACGCCCCACGCACAAGCGGATTTCGGGGTCTGACCTTTCAGGCAATGCCTAATTCACCGATACGTGGCATAGGCTATTCCCGTGAAATATCGGAAGGTTCAAAGGCACAGGCTTATGGAGGAACAAGATCTTGCTGCTTAGAACCCGGTGTGATCTTGTGCAACAATGATCGTATCTCAAGCTAGGCACTACTGGAGACAAGGAAGGCGTTAGTCGGTATTTCGGAACAACCGCTTCGGAGAACGATGCAACTTGGGGCTGAGGAAATAAGCACAGCAGTTGCTCAGTTTGTCGTGATGTAGGGGATGTTTTCAAAAGCTCGGATACTCCACGACGAAGAGGATGCATAAACGAAAACAACGCTGCATTTTCGAAAAGCCCTCGCCGGAGGACGGCGGCTTCAACTCCACCGTTTTAGGCACCGCCTCTACCGTGGAAATATAATCGGGCCTCGAAAATCTGGCTAGGGGGTGTGATATCTTGTGTCACCAACGGTAGTCTTCGATGGAAGGCTGATTTGCTCACCGGCGAAGGGGTGTCGAGGAAGAGGGGGAGAGACAGCAGAGTCGCCAAGAGCCGGAGGGTCTCCACCCGGTTGGAATCGAAAGAGCTCACTTGCTGCACGCACGCGAAAACAAGACGGGTTCAAGCGCACGCAATGCAGCACGAGAGGTCCATGCGGGGAGAGGACTCTCTAACTCGACGCAGCAACGAGAGGCTTTTTGATGGGGGAGGGCTCGCTCATTTTGCTGCAATTCAAGAGGCTGATGAGAAAGAGCTTACGTGCTGCACGCACACACAACAGTGACGACGATCGAAGTACACTTTCCTGCAGCACACGAGGTTGATGGAATAAGTAAAGGTTTCGAAAAACTACAGCCGCCGCGACAAGTCAGAGGTTGGAACAGCGACGATCGAAACGAAACAACAACAACGCCCGGGAAGATGGTTGATGGAGTGGAACGGAACGAGACATCTAAAAGCGACGGGGAAGGGGGGGGTAACTCAACGAGCCTGGGGGCGCACGAAACCTCACACAAACATTCCTCTCCAGCTTATTCCGCATGTTCTACCCCGCTGCTCAGTCCTGCCGCTCGTCGCTGCTCTTGCCAAACACCCCTCCCCCCCCACACCCTACACACCCATCGGCACGGACACGCGTGCCCCCAACCCTGACCAAGAGAAGATACCGCACGCATGCGAGAGACCGCACGCGTTGGTTCGAAAAGGTCGACGTGATTGAATTCGACTATCGCCCTAACGGGGGGTCACCCTCCTGCGATCAAAAGGCCAAGAACGAAAGGACCGAAAAATCAAGGGCACCCCCGTCCCTTCTCTGGCATCCTCACGGTATCTGACGAGATTCAGCCCCTGTTAACCTTACCCTCATGTTGTGCTCTGTCACTGCAACCCCGGGTGCCCAGATGATGGCCGCCTCCTTGATCCCGTAGTGCAACTCCGGGATGGGGGTGTAGTAGTCGTCCCTGAAGCACAAACAATAGTGGTGTCAAGGGCAAGGTAGCGTCGGGGAAAGAGTTACTAGTCCCTCATTGAGATGTGAGTGTCGAGTGCATATGCTATACTGTGCCATGGACGTCCATGTTTTTCAGCCAGCGGTGGCACCAAGCAGAGGTGTCTTGTTGACAAGTTGAGCTTCTAAATCGAAAAGAGCGTATATATACGTAGGCGTACATCCAAAGCCAATTTTCAAACCTTAGCGTTTCAGAAACCATGAGGAAATAACGAGAACGTCGGAGCTAATGGCAAGGGGCACCAAATTCATAGAGGTGATAATGGTCTTCTTCCTTCCTACCGTCGCAGTGGCAAACCTCACCCACCCAATCATCACCACCACAAAAACGACAACGGTTACACGAGGCAGAGGCCCAACACGTCAAGGCTACATGTATGCAGGCATGGACGAACGCCCACGCGGGGCCGCTTCTCGCCAATACATAACGGTGAAGAAACTCCCCATCCCGCAACACGCTGGCTCCAAGGAACAACGCACGCACGTCCCCCAATTTCACGAAAAGACACACAAGCGGGCGCAACAACAACGCGTTGCTGCTGCTGCTCTCTCTCTCTCTCACCACTCCATCGCCTCGTCGTCCACGCAGAACCCGGGGAAGGACAGCAGGCTGGTGACCGCATGCAGAGCGACCGAGGCGAAGCACACCGGAAATTCGTCGCCCGCGCCGCCGCGCCCGTCTTTACCGCCGCCGCCTTCGCTGCCGCTGTCTCCACCCTTGCCACCATCCCCCTCCCCGTCGTCGTCCTCCCCGCTGCCTCCGTACGGCCTGCAGTTGACACTGCCGCCGCCGGCACCGCCACCTCCGGTGGAAACCCCGCTCCCCGACGAAGCCACGCCGTCGTCTAGTTCTGCGGGGGAGGGCGGGGACGTCATGTCCGGGAGGGGAGTCGGCTCGGCGTCGTCGGGCTCGGGCGTGGGAAACCTCCCGCGAGGCGTTTGTTCTTGTCGTCTCCCCTGCTGCTGCTGCTGCTGCTGCTGCTGCCGTACGTCCTGTCCGTTTCGTCGCGGCGATTGTTCCTCGTTGTTCTCCAGGAAGGAGAGCAGTTGCGGCAGCCTGAACGAGGGAAGAAGTGCCGGCGGTGGTGAAAATGTCCTTCACAAGCGATTTCTCAAGACTCAAGGACAGCAGGCCTGCTTCACATAGCAGTCAGTCTCCTACCGAACGCGCGATACACGCAACTGCGCACCAGGCAATGCGACCTGCGTGTCACCGCAGCTCACGCCTGAAAGTCCTAGAGGAGAGGCTTGTCAGTGCGTGCTGCACGAGCAATCATGCGGTTTGCACCGGACTACTGTCTGGCAAGGCTTGGGAGCCCAGAACAGAGCAAGCAGAGAGCACCCCGACACAAACCCCGTGCTCGTCCGCGGCACATCCATCCATCCCTTTTCAGCGTCGAGCGACCACCAGGCGAAGTCAAATGTAGATGATGGCATCCAATGATACAGAGGAATTCGGACAAGCGTGCGCTCCGCTACACCCGCGGCTCACAACAACAACAACATCGATTTCGAAGGCCATGATCATCTGGGGTTCATGGTTCTGGCAGCAGACACCACAAAAAAAAAGGGAAGGCGCGTGGCCTCCCTGTCCAACTCCAAACCAAAACACACTCGTCTAAACTCAGGCCCGAGAACCTAACGAGGCCCTGAACTACAGTATAGAGAAACGTTCAGTAAAAAAGCACTGTGGCGCTACTACACGACATTGCACAGATACCACTCTCTCTCTCTCTCTCTCTCTCTCTCTCTCTCTCTCGGACATAACACATCTATATACCCTGTTTGGTTTGAAAACCAACGGACCACCAGCACACAAAACTGTGATCTTGCCGCTTCTCGGCCCGCTTACTCCACCAAAAAACTACTCCCATCCTTCATCACAAGCTACACCTGACTGGTCTTCCTTCTCACAGCCGGAAATTTTGTCCCCTCCACCTTCTCTCGTTGTTCCACACAAACCACTCAGCAACACGCGCGCGCACAGCAGCAGCCACGCGCCCGCGGCTGACACACACATTTAGAAGTGTTTCGTGTCTTCAACCGCACGAAGACTGACATCTTCTCATTGGTCAACCGGTTAGCGCGGTCAATGCTAATAATAAAAATACAATCACACACTCACGTTCGGCGCGCCCAGCACCAGGAGCGGAGCTCGGGGGTTGACAGGAGGGCCGGCAGTACCCGGGTCAGCACCCGGATGCTCGCGTACACCGTCACCATGTGGGGGCTCGTCTGTCTAGACTCCACGAACCGACAAATGTTGGACAGGGCCTGCGGCCGGGCGCGCAGTAAATGTGTTCCACCGCCAACGCGCCAAGCGACAAGGGGGCACGCAGAGGGAGGGGGGAGCGTCGGCCTTTGACCTGGGGTGTGTGTGAGAGGGGTGTCCATGACAATCCGTAGCTTTGAGAGCCAGAACGACAACTCTCGAGATTGAGCACTTCCATTGCACAAGCTAAGGCGGCGAGTCAGCGTGCTGCACACATGCGAGGAATATCAGTCGGTGTAACCAAACACGACAAAGTAACATTGGCGCCAGCGTATATGGGACGTAAACGCACACACGCTCGCTTCGACATCCTACCATTTCTGTCTTTTGTCCGGAACGCCCTAGCTTCCTCAATGACCTCCACTCACCGAACCCCGGATTATGGGTTCTGGAAGCGTTATTTGTTTTGAGCCGCGCTGAGAATGTATTTTCATTGCCCAGCAGGCTAGAGCAATCGATACAATAACAAAGACACGAAGAAACGCATGTAACAAGGTAACACTCTGGTTAAGAGAGAGCAAAATTCCGGATCGGTCTCGGTTGTTACCTCCCGAGCCAGCAGCTTGAGATTGCCCGGCTGCCGCAACCTCATCGCCGTGGCATCACTTGCAGAAAACACCTGACGCCACCAGGACATAGTAAGCCCCGTGACAAAAAACAAGACGAGCGACGAGACACATCATCGCGGTTGGGGAGGGGGTCGTTTGCAATATCGCGTCTCGACATTCCCTTCTTCACACCACGTACCACCGTACAGTACATCACTACAAAACTGGTAGAATTCCATTCATGGGCACGCTATCTAGGTCTGCATGAAGCTCTGACAAACAAGACCTGCCTCACTCTCGAGGATGGACAACAGACGCTCACTCCCGCCGATTCTTCGCAGCCTTCCCCCCCCCCCCCCCCCCCCNCCCCCCCCCCCCCCCGCCCCACATCTCCGCTCTACGAAACCCCCACTGCCGTGCGGCGAAATTTACGCCTAACACGAGCGTTGGTCCTCGATTCGCCGACAAGTTACTCACGGCCGTTTTCGATTGAATGCGGCGAGTTGCCTTGACGTAGCCCCGGAGTCTCAGCTAATTATAGCTACGCGCGACAATGCCTGCGGGGGGGAGAGACAAACGGCGGTGCATGTAGCGAACGTCCCTTTCGAAAACTCTTTGGTTTGCCAATACCTTCCACTACCTCTGCCCCACCACCCCCAGGTTCCGACACCGTGTGTGCCAACCCCAACCGCAACCTTGCCCTACCCCGCCCAAGCGGTCGCTAGCGCTAACACTTCCTGCCACTAGCCACTAGCCCCCCACAGTTCGCAACAACCTCTTTGGTGCCAACCCCAATCGCAACCCCCCCCCCCCCCCCC